TTGCACACCAGCCGTTGTTTAAAGTGCTAACTGTGTTGCGTTTGCTCTTGACGCCTGAATTTAAATGCGTCTCGAAACAGAGACAAAAATCAAATCAAAATCGTTTTTAATTGCCATTCGCGTAACAGTTAATTAATTGACAGAGACGAGAAATGCGGCGACACGCGCATAGCAGAGCTGTCAAAAAGTCAGTGGCAGTAACAGCTGCATATGGCTAGATATAGTGAAAAGTGTGCCCAGAGTCACAAGCATCAAACGATAGGGCTGGTGCAGAGCCGATTGTCAATGTTAGTTAGTTAGTGCGACTCTGCCTGGGATTTAGTGAAACGAGAAATAGGATTAAACATTTTGTCTTTGCCTTGTCAACTTTTTGTTTTCAGTTTTGATGGCGCTGAATTTCGCTTTTATAGCGTAAATTAATCCGCAGACGAATTGAAATGAGTGAGTGAGTGAATGAGGGATTGAGTGATGGTACGCGGCAGTGGCGATACAAAGAGTTGGACAGCTAGTGCTATGAGTTGTTTTGTATAAAGTCAGTAAAATGCAGGCAATCGATGTTGGATAGGACGGCAGCGGGGCGGAATTTGACGAGAAAATGTAAATAACAGTAGAAACAGAGTGCTGGGCAATGGCGATTTAAAAAAACGGCGGTTCAAGATCTGGCATAAATCGCCAATCGCGAAGGGTGGGAAAATAGACAACCTTTAAACTGACGCTGAAGATTACTGAACATTATCCAGGCATGTCTCAACCGGCAGAAAAAGGGCGACTAACCCCTCCACATCAAAAATGTTCCTAGCAGGGGGAGGGGGGGGTTTTGGGCAGCGCGACTGATCAAATGTTTTCATCACACAGAAGTGGCGAAGAATATTCCGGGATATCTGATATTTTTTGCTTGATGATAGAATACTGTCTACTTTTCAACAACAATAACGCTCTCTCAGCCGCTCAATTAACATTACTTAAATCCTATTCCTATTGTCGTGGTGCGTAAGATCGAGGTCATCGTCAAGATATCAGCAGCAGTTTCTCAACTAATTGTTGTTGTCCCAGGTCTCATCATCTCAAAAGAAAATTTTAATAAGAGGATATCTCGAAAAATAAAATAAGTTCGATACAAAGTACTTTCTTATTCTGAGTATTAAAATTTTTGGTTACTATGAAAAGCTGGGTCGGCTCTTCAAAATCTTAGATTTACAGCGACGGGTGCGAGACTTTTGATTCAAAAGACCCAAGGCCTCCGCTCTGGTACAGAATTGGAAAAAATATTTAGAATGGATCCCGAATATCCTTTGTCGAATCACAGGACACCATCCAGATTGTTTTGAACTTCCATTCTAAGCTCATCCAAACAGTCTCCTCGTCCAGAGTGAAAGAGAGTGAAAATTAAGAATGATTATTTCTGATTATAAAACAATGATGATAGGGTGATACAACACTGTAGGCATTAGAAGCTGGTAAGTGAAGCTTGTTTTATATATTCAAGAGTTGCTGGATGAAAATATGTTCATCTACGTTACCACTAAGATCATTAAGTAGAGTAGCTGATGATGCCTGGAGTTATGCAGATCATAGCCTGCACAAATTAAGAGTCAAAGAGGGTCCTCGTCCATGCCGTCTGGCTTTTTCCCTTTGGAGTTAACACTTAGTTACACAGATAGTTCAGCTCAAGAAGATTTGTGTTTAGTTCGGACTAGAGTTCAGGCTCACTGCTGACTAGTGCATGCCTTATATTTATGAACAACCTACAGAGATTTAGTAAAACCCACTTTCAATTATTTGCAGAAACCAAGCATGGAGGCTGTGAGGAGAGTGTGGCAAAGGCTTATGTTCTCTAATTTGTGCTTTTGATTACAGACGAAAATATATTTGGACATTATGAGTCTGTTTTTTTGCTTACGGAGTGCTGACCTATTGGTATCGAAGATTTAGCGCAAATAGCAGGCTCGGAAAATGACCATGGGAGACTTTTTTCTTACCACCTTGGAATAGTGGAGGTATGGTCCACATTAGGCATATTTCATAAACGGGTGCCCTTCAGGGATTTAGTCTTCCGTGCATTTTGAACTCACGATTTTGTATCTACATAAGCGGTTACGTCATTAAGCAAAATCTCCGTGTAAAAATCCGCGTGGGATGCACCCACCCAAAGCCACGTGTGGTGCGGACGTCATCGGCAAAACGGTCACTGTAACTGACGAACGCTACAGGGCCATGATAAATGACTTGTTACTGCGGGAATTGGATGAGCGGGGCTTGGAGAACATTTGGTTTCAACAAAACGGTGCAACTGCACACACAGCACGGAAATATTTCGGAATGTTATGGAAAATGGGCACAAATATATATTAAAAGTTATTCAAAAACCAAATTGGATGATTGATTTTGCGCCACCTTGTATGTAAAATGAAACTTCCTTTAGTAGTTGACGTGATTTACAAACATAACATTTATTTCCGAAAAGACCAATCCCGGGCAAGAAAAAAGTGGAATTCAGTGGCAATGGTCTCAACAATTTTGCCATATTTATGTACACATAAAAGTTCATTCATACACACATACATATACATACAAACAAAAAATGACGATTCCTTGATGACTGCCAATGCGTACGAGTAATTAACTTAGTGTAAAAATTTATAACGGAGCATATACGTAATGAGTTTCAATCTAATAAAGCAGGGATCACACGATTTGTATATTTTGGCAGGCACACAGTGGTGTTTTGTAGAAATTTTTATCGAGAATGAGTTTAGCGCAATAGAAACTTTCGAAATAACAGCACTCTGTAACTGTTAAAATGTACAAATTCGTGTGATCCCTGCTCAAAAGTTTTTGTTTAGCTGATATCACGATTTAATGCCATCATCAGAGAACGGTTTTTATCGAAGTTGGAAGTATCGATTAAAAATTGCCCCGACTTAGTTTTCCTTTATTTCAAATATACACATTTGATGTTGGTATTTTTTGCTTTTAATTAAGTGTTTATAACCTATTTAAAATTTGTCAAAAATTTGTATATTAAAAATAAACGCCTATATTTGAAAATAGCATTGATAAAAATTGGTATATAAAAATAGTGTAAGTTATGTTTAAATATTTTGAACAAGACCTAGAAGCGGCTTATATAAAAGCCATACTGGTGCTAAAAAAATTCAAAGCAACTTCCATCAACGAAGGTTTGGGGCTCTTATTGTTGATAAAATGGTAAAATGGCAAATACATTGGTTTTCCTATTTTTGGGGAAACAACATCTACAAGAGCTATCAAAGGACAAAACTTTTAAAATAAGATATCGCGAAAACCAGTATGTGGATTTTATAAATGTTATTCGATAGAAAATATAAATATATTTCGTGTAAATTTTTCCAAAAGTCTAATGTATGAATGTACATGCATTGGGTTTACTAAATATCTCAAGTTCTTGGCCACGTAGCGGATCTTTCATTGAAGTTAGTTCGGGAAAGATTTGACCCTTACAAAAATACCACATAGAAAGCAAGTTAAACAAAACCTTGCAAAAAATGTCTGAAGTGACTTTTGGCCTGTAACGACTCTTGTAGTTCTCGTTTCCACCGAAAATAAAGTTTATCGTTCTGCTCATCTTAATGGCTTTACCATTTATTTATACCCGAGTGAACTTGTGCACAAGGGTATTATAACTTTGTTCACATAACAGTTGTTTGTAACAGGCAAAACGAATCGAGATAGATATAGACAAATGTATACATAAATGATCAGGATGAAAAGAGAAATCGATTAAGCGGTGACCGTCTGTCCGTCCGTCCGTCCGTCTGTGCACACGATAAAGTAAAAATTGAGATATCTTAACAACTCTTTGTACGCGCACTTTTTACGGGCGTAGGACGGACGGTATTGGAAATGGGCAGAATCGGACAATAACCACGTCTACCTCCCATTTAACGGTAATTTTCAAAAATACGAAAACTGCGATATTTTAGTAACTACTGAAGATTATTCACTCAAAATTGATATTTGCAATGAGTTTTAGACGAAAAATAAGAATATTACAAAATTTTGGCAAATGGGCGTAGCCACGCCCACTTATGGTTACATGTGTATATCTTGGTAACCGCTACACCAATTTCTTCCAAACTTGGCACAGTTGTTGGTCCTGGTACAGCATACCAACTGGCCGAAAATTTCTAAAATCGGACAATAACCACGCCCACATCCCATATAACGGTAATTTCGAGAAATACAAAATCTTCGATAAGTCAGTAAATATTAAAGCTAAGTTATTCAAAATTGATGATTGCAACAATTCTTCATCAAGAAATACGTTTATGATAAAATTTTGGAAAATGGGCGTGGCACCGCCCACTTATGATCACATGTATGTATCTCGGTAACTGTTCAACCAATTTGTACCAAACTGGGTGTGGTTATTGTGCTTGCCACATAAAAGCAAAACGTTGAAAATTATTGAAATCTGACTAAAATTGAGGCCGCTTTTCATATAACGGTAAATTACAGAAATACTTGAAACTTCAATTTTTCAAAATTTAAGGACGCTAATTTACTCAAAATTGATACCCCCGGCTTACCATGTAGCGGTAGCTTTCGGAAAGGTTAAAANATATTTGCGCCGGGTATTTAATGTTCCGCTCCACCCGAACTTAGAGTTTCTTACTTGTTTGAGTTCGTTAAAAATTATTCAAACTTGTCGATAAAACAATGTATGGCTCCTAAATTACTAATCTGCAAATTTTGGATGTATAACCCGATAAAAAAAAACCGCGATAAAATAATCCTCCTACACAATGGTTGCTAGTAACTACTAATTTAGTAGAGTTTGAATAAAATCGCTGACATGAAACTTTTTCTGTTACACTTGGTGAATTTTTCCCCATAGTTATAAAATATATGTGTATTATCACAGTTATATCATCGCTATACTTACCCATCTCTTCACTAGATATAACTTAACAATTAAAGCTCCCCCTCCGCAAACAATTCGCTTTTCCGTCTAACTATCTCCCGCTCTCCCTCTCCGTTTCTCCTAGCCCACATGATGCGCGTGCTTATACTCCGGCAACGGTGGCATGCGTGAATCCCAAATAAATAAGTAATACATGGCTAATGTCATGCCCAAACCACTAATGCCGCCCATGTAAAGCATCAAGGAGATCAAGCGGAATGTTTTCGATTCGAAGAAACTGTCAGATTTTGGTACAGTAATTTCCTCATCTTTGTTAGCTGCAGCGGCCGCAGCTGCGCCAGCGGGTGCCAGTAGGGACATACCTACTCGTAATTAATTAACTTGATTTAGAGCAAAGAAAACCCGCGAAATTCGACGAAAAAAGAACACTTTCTTTGAAACTTTCGTTATTTCGTATGTCTGTTTGTTTTTTTGTGTGTGTTTTTTTAGCCGTCTTATCACACTCACCACGGCGGCAATACTATGTCTCAAGTGTAACTGAAATGACTCGCAAGAAATTGTGAAGAAAGAGGCTTCATTTCGCCTCAATGTCTGGTGACACTCTTGCTGAGGTAGTACTTATTCTTGAGGAACAGAATGGGCGCGCGGGTATAGTCAAAAGTAGACTTTTGCGGTTTGGTTTGGCTAATTGTTTATTCTTGTTGCTTTGCGATGTACATATTGGCGCGATTTCGGTCTATTTAAGTTTGTGGTTTTGGTGTATGCGCATAGGAAAGACTTTGTACACATTGCTGATGTACCATACAAAATCGCTTACTTACATATATACTAAGTATATACATAATACATACATATGTACTTATGCGCCCAGGCTTGTAGAGTTTGTTATGCTACAATGGTTTCGCATATTTCTTTTCTTATTCTTTTGCACAGTTGGCTTGTTCGAGGCGCTAATTAGTTGCAGGCGTGCATAGATATGTATGTGAGTGCCTATTAATCGTATGTCTGTCTGTAAATACAGAACCCTGCAGAAAATATGAAGCTCATTGTTTCAAAAACTGCAGATGCGCAAGGTCGTCGCTCTTTCTAAGGATTTATTTAGTATTAACTAGCAGACCCGGCGAACTTTGTCCCACCCAAAGCTATTATTTTTTATTGAATCATTTTGGTCCAAGATTTTCACCAACAATTCACGGTCACGATTTATATGCTTATATTATGCTTTGGTGGTCGGAAGGCATACTTCCAAGCCAGTCTTAAATAGCCCAACGAAAGTGTAATGTCGCCGAAGAAGTTCGTTGAATTTACCCCAATGATATGGCGTTTCACATCCCGGTTAATCGTACAGCGAAATAAGTTTGAAGAATTTTTTCCTCTTCACCCCCTGGGAGCAACAATGATCCGGTTCGATGGTGAATCTCTCCTTGAAATTGTACAGTATAGCTTGAGACAATTTCAAAATGGCTGAGTATCGTTGTTCCACAGAAATCTAATATACATAGACTTATTTCAGACGAAATATCTTAGAGGCCTTATCAAGAGCGCAATAGTTCTGGTGGTTGACTTAACCGAGGTCATTTGAGATTTAGCCCTGGACAACTCAATCCTGGTGTCTCCGAATGAAGCCATAACATAGAGTAATATTGGTAAATCATATTCATTGGGCCTGTCTGAAACACAGTGGTGCAGCAGGTCGACGTAATCGGACATTCAAGGCACTTTCTCTCACTGGACGTTTGTGAGTAATAACTGTCTCCAGCGCCACCTGGCGGCTCCTTTTTATAAAAGTATTGCTCTTACCATAACCAATACATATCTCGAATATGAGACAAATTGCATCATAAATACGAATTTTTAGTAATACCTTGACTCCTGAGCCACTTGGTTAGCATATTTTTTCACGGCAATATTTTCTTTTACGATACCAATACATGTTTCAAATATAAGCCAAATCGAATCATGCATACAATTTTTAGTAATAAGTCGACTCCAGCTCCATCTGGCGGGTCAAATTGTGAACTTAAACTATCCAGAGACGCCTTGGAAATTTTGCAGTAGGTGTACGAAATTTAAAAAAAAATCGATACAGCCATTCCCGAGAATTGAGAACAGAAAAAGACGGCTTTCAAAATATATATTAGTACAGATAACTACAGAAAAAGACGGCTTTCAAAATATATATTAGTACAGATAACTCGTCTCCAGCGCTACCTTTTCCTTACTCTTACCAATACATACATATATATGACCGAAATCGGACTATGAAAACGATTTTTACTAATAAGTCGATCCCAGCAGCTATCGGGGTTTTCTCTCCGTAATATTTTTCTTTGGGCAAAGCCAAACATAACTAAAAAAAGTCGACTTTAATCGGACAATCAAAAAGTTTTTATTTTTTCCTCTAGCAGGGGAGCTCCCTCAAAATTGTTTTTTAACCATTTTGTCACAGTAACTACATTTTATAGGTCCGCCAAAAAATGCAAGGAGTACCAACAAAAAATTTTTAGTATTGCAAAATGGTTTAATAAACAATTGGGTATTATTATTGGAAGTCTGCCGAAGAGCATCAGGTATTTCCGATTGAAAAGTATTGATTTTCAAGAATTCTATAGCATTTCTAGGAAAAGTTGTTTTTTCCAACATAAAATTCATGGAAAACTTTGAGCGACCTCTAAATATTTTTTGATTTCAAAATAACTTTTCGATATAGAATAAACCTTGGGGTTTTTTGAACCACCCCAACAAACAATAAAAAATATTAACACGTCCATCTGGAAGAGGAGATATATCTGTAATCCTGCTGGATCTGAATAATTTCGCGACCATATTACGGCTTCCAACGGATGCCAGTTCTTTCGACTGCCTACCATTCTGGTTATTCATGCTGCAAGGCTCACACATTCTTTCATACTTATTTATTACTAAATGAAGGATTCCCGATATAGGAAGTTGCAAAGGCTGGGGAGGTCTTTATCTCGCCGCTACTTTTTAAAATTTTTCGGATAATATGTTATTTACCAGATTTAAAACCTAATCTAGTGATTAATGACGGTTTTTAGTATTTATCAAAGTATCATTGTTAGGGCCTTCTAAGCAATACTTAGAGTTATGCATTCGAGGTAGTTTGCGCATCTACAGGATGGTATGCAGAAGATATTTTATTTAGATTAACTCAGCATGCAAGCTTTCGCGCCAACTTAGGTTGTGTTAGATTGTCGCGGACGTCTATAAAATACACTTAGGCTCAGGGCCCATTATGATGCCGCATTTGGGGTCATCAGCTCTCAATCCTAACTAAAACCATTTTGAACTTCGCAGGCATTTTAGAAGATCCCTGAATTCCCCGCATCTATGGTCCCCCAAGTTTTCGGAGAATTTCCTACCAAGAGTGGAAAGTCTTCGTGTGGATGGAGCAGGGCACTGGTACAACAGGAGCATAATAGTTTCCTCCTCCTCTTTATATTTACAGCTTCTACAGAAGTCATGTACCAACCCTCCTCTCGAGCTTTGTGCCATCTGTGAATACATAGATGGACTCTTTTCTAAGGGTCTCGCACCATACCACTATACCGCGCCAGTGTATTATTTTGGATTCCATCCCCCATATTTTTTCTATTGCCATATTGGAGACATTCATTGTCATTCAAGAGCTGGACGGAGAACACCACTGCGAATGGAATGTTTCCAATGGGGCATATTCCCTGAATTTTGTGTACTCACTCAAGCTCACACGCTTATATATTTAAGTAAATACACTTATATACATTTATGCGTTACATAAATACATACATACATAGTTTGCGGGGGTATTTAGCTACAAGTGAACGATACGGCAAGTACATACATATGCATGCATATACATACATACAAATGCACATATGAATTAAGTTTGGACCCTGCCGCTAAGCAGCTGTCACTTAAGTATCGCTTTATTACCGTCGAGTGCGGCGAATTGAATAGCAAGTCATGTAAGTATGTGTGTACGTGCATTCATAAGAAAATATATTTGCTGATTCATACTTAGATGGTTTCTTTGAAATGTGCTGCAAATAATGTGAATGTCTTGGATTACGCTTAGCTAATAGCTCGACAATTTTTATGTGGCCTGATTTATTTCATTACAAATTAGCAGAAACATAAATTTCATAATGAATATTAGTATTGTAAGAAAAGCTTTAAGTGGTCCTGTCATTATTATAACAATACTAATATTAATTCACGTTAGTGCTAAAATTATAAATTGCTCTACATCAAGACAAGACAGCGAGCATCCTGAGTAGAGCTAATGTAGATTTGGGGGACTTTCAGGTGTACCCAACTTCAATCACGCATTCAGCCGTAGTAGCGATCCAAGAAGAGGCAATGGGCCGTATGAATAAAAGCTATGCAAATTCCTTTTTCGATTTATTCAAACAAATTTAAGTAAGCGGTCAGAACTTACAAAAAAAAAAATAAAATAAAATGAAGTAAATGGTAAGAAAAAGTAATTGGGTAAGGCCAACTCAAGTGGGTCACATTTACCGACGTTCGAATTTCTAGTTGATTTTTCGCTCAAATGAAGTTCTACCCACCTAAGATACGCTCCGCAAATTTCTTAGAAAAATGTTCAAGTTTAGACTTTTTATGAGCCTTTGAATTTTTTGCAATGTTACGGAATTTATTTATTTTTCTCTGAAAATACAAATTGGAATGCGATGATTTCTTAATCGTAGGGAGAGGACATAGAATCCCATGATTCAATAATTAAAGGTTTGCTCACTAGTGACATACGAGTTTTGACACTCCCTAAACTCCCTTGCAAAAGCTTTCTTTGAACAAATGAAAATTTAAACGATTTCTCCGCCTGTCAGAAGAGTTATAATACCAGAATGTCACGCCGAAAGTAGACCAGAGTGGATAAAGAAAGCTCTGGAGACTAAACAAGTTACACCTCTCGCTATTGGTGAGAGCTCTAACCGGTTATTGCGTTATAGATAAGCATGCGATAAGGTTGGCTTTCATCAATGGCCGTTACTACACCATCTGCATGGAGCATGATGAGCTGCAATCATGTCAACACCAGCTGCTCTGGTGCTCTGCCTTTGAGAGATTAAGCTTCACAAACCTTGGAGCGCACTTTTTCCACACTCCCGATGAGCTTTCGGTAATTGATATCAGTCGTTTTGAGAAGTTTCCTTGTGGGCATGCAGCATTTTTCTTATAAAAAGCCTTGGGTGTCATCGTGCGGTTCCTTGCCTTCCTCCATTTCTACCCTCCCTCTCCCACCTCCGGCCTTCCTGTGTCTTTTTTCCCTCTTCCATTAAGGACACAACAATACGGCGGCTCTCTTACCTAACCTAACTTAACTTTAAAAAATATCG